GAATGCCTTAACTACCCTAACTTGACAAAACAAGGATTCTTTGCTGGAGAAGATAGGGGGTGGGAGGGAGATAGAGGGAGACTTGGTTTAAATAGTGAAAAATTGTAGTGCAATGATAAAACACGGAAGAGTGAGTGGCAAGTGGCGGGATATTATTTTGCACAAGTTGTTTGCAGTCTCTGTATGTTTAAAAGTAAAGGAAGTTGCATCCAGAAGGGTTTTGTTGCGAGGATATATTTATACTTAGGCTGACAACTTAAGTTCTTTTGTTTGGGGGTTTTCAAAATTCTTTCTGGTCAGAGGTACGTAGCCTTTTGATCTGGAGATAAATATATATATTTATTTTTTGCATTAATTTTCCAATGCCTACACTTAATTCCTGGAAAAAGCAGGGCTGGTCAAGTTGGTTTCTCTCTGCTCTCATTTAACTCATCAGACACAATCGTTGTAAATTGATGGTTTGACGCAACTCATTTAACAAACTTTGAGAAATGGTTGTTAGAAATTGACAGTGTGATCCCAGTGATGTTGAAAATAGTGGGCCAAGAATTGCATTTCATAGGGGAATTGACTTTGGACCTGGCCTGTAGGTTAGTGACATAAAATATTTTCTCTTTTCTTCTCTGCCCTGTCTGTTTTATGTCCTGCACTTCATTCTGTGACGGCCAGAGGTTGGCTGGAGTGCTCCTGGATGAGCACCTCCCCTCCACTCTCAGTGGTCATAGGCTGCTGGACCCATTCTAGAATTCCAGGTCACAGGGGGCCTAGCCTTTGGGGAGGTAACTATACTAACCATTTGGTGGGTCTGGTTCTGCACCTGATGTGTGTGTATATTCTATTTTAAATCAAGCAGTGTAAACACACACACACACACATTTGCCTCATGTAATAGACTTTTATAACAAAAAAGAAAATTTGGATTTCTAATTTACATATGGCAAATTATTTATCCCTCTCTGGATGCACCAAAGACCAGTAAAGTTTATAGCTTTGCCATCTATATTTATAAAGCAATACTGTATTATAAAAATCAATATTTTTATCACATGCTTGAAATTTTTATTTTGTTCTGTTTTAAAATGTGCACTGTAAACATATCAGAACCTTTCTTTCTTCCTATGAACTTAAATAAGCTGCCTGCGCACACACACATACACACAAATAAAAAAAAAAAAATTTTTTTTTTTTTTTTTTAAACTAAACGGAGATGCAGTAGAGTCCATGGGCTCTTGAAAACAAATAAAAATGAATAGGGAAAAACAAGTTATTTGTCCTGAACTACTGTACTTTCAGCAGTAATTAATAAGTAGTAAATCACAGAAGAATCCATTCCAGGTGTGCGTGTTTGGGGGTTTGGGCTGTATCTAGATTAGAAACTAGATTTCAAGCTTTGCATGCTGGGAGAGAGTTTTCTATCAGCTGCTTTTATTCTGAATAGAACAGTAGCCCAGAGAAGGACACTGCTTTCAGAACCACCAGCCTACCACACCAAGAAAGAGGGCAGAGATTATGGGAGTTTCCTGAGTCCGTTTTGATGTTTTGGGAATTGTAAACAAGATTGGCTAGAACTGTAAATGTACTTCGAGATGTGTCCATGGTTCTTTGTCACCTTATACTGGCTATATCTTTGGTAGAAGCTACAGCATCCAATTTCCCTGGAAACTGGATACACATTTTTGCATTTAACAAATTTTACTATATCAAAACACCAAGATTTGTTTATAAAATGAAACTGAACAAAAAGCATTTATTAAAAATAAACGAATATACAACATAACCGGTCCTCTGCAAATTTGTACCTCTCTCTCAAAAACCATGTCCACATCTAAATTTTAACTATTACTTCTGGTAGCTTGTGTCAGGTGGCCAAACAATGAAGCAAATTTGAATCTGTATGTAGTAATGAGCTGCTCTTTCCTGTTGAGACTATCATTATTTTGTCTTACCCAAGATGCAATTATCTGAATTGGATGTCTGAAATATAACTTATGCAGGAATAGTTCTGTAAATACATTTAAATAAGCTGTAAAGATATTTAATAAATATAGTATTTATACTAATCTGTGTGTCCTTTAATTTGAATTGTAGATAAAAATAGAATATCATCATATCAGATCCAAGCCCTATACATTGTTTGTTGGTCTCCTTCAAGTCCTCATTTCCAAGCCTCCTAGTGACTGTACTTTATAGCTGTCATTTTCTAACTGCTAGTGTCAGAACAAGAAGTTTCTCTCTCCCTTTGCTCTTTCACCAGCTGGTTTACTATATAACTTTTGTTGTTAAGTGCTGTCAAGTTGGTTCCGACTCATAGCCACCCTGTGTATAGAAGAACAAAGCACTGCCCGGTCCTGCTCCATCCTAATTGTTGCTGTTGATGTTGCCACTAAGCCAGTCCATCTCACTGGGGGTCCCCCTCTTTATTGCTGTCATTCCACTATACGAAGCATGATATCCTTCTCTAGGGACTGGTCCTTCCTGATAATATATACAAAGTATGAGGGACGAAGGCTAGCCATCTTGGCTTCTAAGGAGCACTCTGGTTGTACTTTTTCCAACATAGATTTATTTGTTCTGGTACCTTTAACTATCTTCTCTAACACCGTAACTCAAATGCATCAATTCTTCTACAGGCTTCCTTATTCACTGTCCAACTTTCACATGCATGTAAGGATACTGAAAATACCTATGACCTTAGCTTCTTCAAAAGTACATCAACAAGGACTTAAAACAACTGTACCTTCCAAATGGTATCGAGTGAACCAAAGAAAAACCTGGTGGCCTTTAAATTGAACACACTCTATCAGAATTCTGAAATCTGCATTGTATACAATTTAACTGTATTAATTATCTTTTACAGACCATAATAGCATTCAGCCATTCCTCATTATGATGCCTTTGTGCCCTCAGTTCCCCTATTTTACTGCTGTATGTCAGATAATACAGACAAAAACTTTGAACCAGAAACTTCAACAAAGAGACCAGTTTTCTGTATAGTCCTCTTCATCTGTTAATAGAATTCCAGGGTTCATCAGTGTAAGCAAAACATAAATGCATAGCCCACAATGTGAAAGGGCTAAATTAGAATTTCGTGGGCATTGCCAGTTTACACAAAAAGCCCATTTTCATTCACTGAAGAACATCTTGGTATGAACTTGAGTTTTTATTAGGTTATTGTGGGTAGCTGTGAGTCATGACTAAGCTACCAGAGCCAAATTTGTTGTGGTTTTAGTTAGAACTCTGTGCACATTTCTAAAAGCATACTAATCCACTCAGGCACCTTTGTTTATGAATTTCTCATCAAGTCAAAAGCACAATTGCTTGCCAGTGAACATTTCCTTGTGATTTGATGGTTTCAAAGACTTAACAATGAGATGTCGCAGATGTATGTTAGGTTATAATTGACTCTAAACAGAAGTGGGGGAAGGTGAGGTACACATGTACAGTTGTTGTTGTTGTTATGTGCCATCGAGTCGGTTCCGACCCATAGCAACCCTGTATAGGGTTTCCGAGGGTGTAAATCTTTACGGGAGTAGAAAGCCTCATCTTTCTCCCGCGGTGCAGCTGGTAGTTTCGAACCGCTGACCTTAAGGTTCGCAGCCCAATTCGTAACCACTACGCTACCAGAGCTCCTTACATGTACAGTAAGACATTATATAACACGTTCTTTGTGCCAGATTTTTTTTTGTCTGTTTTTTTGCAGGTAAGAAGCTAATTCTTTGTTGTTGTTAAGTGCCGTCGAGTCGGTTCCGACCCATAGCGACCCTGAACAGGGTTTCCGAAGCTGTAAATCTTTCTCCCACGGAGCAGCTGGTAGGTTCAAACTGCTGACTTTGCGATTCGCACCCCGATTCGTAACCACTACACTACCAGAGCTCCTTAAGCTAATTCTTAGAGGGGTAAAAAGAAGAGACAGCCATCTTCCACCTCATTCCAATCCAAACTCTGTTCTCTTACAGGTGGAGGTTGCTGCTCTATGTCAGATAATACAGACAAAAAAACCTTTGGCATCACTTCCATTCAATTCTTTTCTGTATCACAGTGGGAAAAAATTATATGAAAGTATAAAACAATTTGTTTGTTTTTACTGTGAACTGAGTGGTAGTTTACATGGGAGAACATCAGTTTTACACTCATCCTATCGTATTTAGTTTCATTGCAGTGATTACAATCCTCTCCATGCATCATCATTCAGCAGCATTTGTTTCCATTCCCTCTGGTTTTATTTATTTATTTATTTTTAGATGTACACCTAAGCACTCAGGAATATATAACCATTCAAAAAACCACAGGGAAAAGGAAAAACAATTTACTATGAAATAATAAAGTTTTACTCTACAATGGAACTTCAAAACGTTCGTAGAAAAATTACATTTTTCTGTGAACTTTCCGAAGTCTTCTTTCTCATGCATAAAAAGACTCCAAAATGAAGGGAGTGATTATGCATTCAAAAATTTTAACCTCTCTCCCTACCAGATGTTAACTTTATCAACAAATCTTAACAAAATATAAGAAGCAATGGACAAAAAACCAGTATGACATTACATGAGAAAGTCGCATAGCTTTTTTATTTCTGAGCTCAACAAAGCTCACATTTGCAATCGAATAAAATATGTCTACTAATCACAAAAATGTATTTCCAGCTATATTGAAGCACTCCAAATAATTGACTGATTAAAAGTTAGATACCTTCATCAAACTGACAGAAGATGTGAAAAGCTGTAGTGTGAAGCCGGCACTGAACTGAAGAACTCAAATGGGTTTTTTCCTTGCATAGCTAACTTTGGAGCCTCCCGAGTAGCATGGATTTAAGGTGAATTACATACACTTGACAAGCAGTTATTTCTAGATAAGGTAGATCTAGATGCCATTTGAAGATCCAAAGCCCGTTTTCCACTCTCACACAAGTCCAAGACAACATGTACTAAGTATAAATGTGTGTTTGAACTACAACTGAGCCCGTGGTAATGGCTTTGGGGCCATCTCAGTAGCCATGACTAATGTTAAAGAATAGAGAAACTGCTGTCATTCATGTCCTCCTGACTGTCATTTGCCAGCCTGTCGGAAGGACCATTGAAGTGTTCTTGCTGATCAGAAGAAACGGCTCCAAAGAACATGGAAGAAAACTGGAGAAAAAGAAAGCAACTGTTGATTTCAAATATAAAACCAGTTGCCATAGAATCTATTCCGACTCACGGTGACTCTCCTCCCTGTGTATCAGAACATAATCTGTGCTCCAGAGGTTTTTAATGGCAAATTTTTCTGAAGTACATTGTTAGAACTTTCTTTGAAGGAGCCTCGGGGTAGACTTTTGAACTGTCAACATTTTGGTTAGTAGCCAAGAGTTAACCATTTACACTACACAGGGATTCCAAGTGAAAGTACTCATTAAGTCCCCCAAATGACAAACCCCTTTTCAGAAATTTGACCAGTGTGGTCTCCACTTCTTTGGTGGTGGTTCATGAATACCTGAACCCTACCTTACTGGTCCTAAAAAAACTACACACCCTGACTTCCAACGCACAAGACATCCTTTTCAGCTTGGGACCAATGATCTCTTCTGCTTCTAACACCTCTATTTGAGTCATGTCACAGGGTGCTGGGAAAAGACTTGGTGATGGACTTCCATAAAGATTACAGCCTAGAAAATCTCATGGGGAGCAGTTCCATTCTGTCACATGGGGTTGCTATGAGTCAGAATTGACTCAATGGCTCCTAACAACAACCGCATGTAACTCAGTGTTCTTATCTGAAAAACAGTTGTACTACTCGAACCTGTCGTGAAAATGCTTTGAAAACAAATGCCATACAACTGTTACTTGGTCTTAAGGTATGATGGTGAGGAACAAGAGCCACTCTTGAAATGCTTAGAAGTATTTACTTGGTTTTTAAAACAAAATGTGTTCAAAGATAGGTATTTATTTTCTGTTCTGTTTTAAAAAATAATGGGGGCTGGATGGAAATTGAGACAGGAGATCTCTGAGACAATCCTGGGTAGATCTTCCCAAGAGACTATTGAAAGAAACGGCCCTATCAACACGTGGATTTTAGCTCAGTGAGACTCTTTTTGGATTTCCAACTTCTAGAATTGTAACATAGGAAGTGTGTGTTTTACAAGCCACTAAGGTTTCTCTGCTATTCATAAGATTTTCAGTGACTAAATATTCGGAAGTAGTTCATCACTCCTTCTTCCTAAGGTGCGCCTGACCCAAGCCATGATATTTTCAATAACCTCATATGCATGTGAAAGCTGGACAGTGAATAAGGAAGACCATAGAAGAATTGATGCATTTGAGTTATGGTGTTGGAGGAGAATATTGAAAGGAGTGCCATGGGCTGCCAAAAGAACCGATAGATCTGTTTTAGAAGAAGAGCAGCCAGAATGCTCCTTGGAGGTCAAGATGGCCAAACTTTGTCTCTCATACTTGGGACATATTGTCAGGAGGGACCAGTTGCTACAGAAGGACATCATGTTTGGTAGGTTAGATGGTCAGAGATAAAGAGGAAGACCCCCAACGAGATGGATTGGCCAGGTGGCAGCATCGATGGACTCAAGCGTGTCAACAGTGAGGTTGGCCCAGGATTGGGCAGTGTTTCGTTGTGCTGCTGTGCATAAGATTGCTGTGGGTCAGTACTGACTTGATGGCACCTAACAACAACAACAGCAGCAAGTTTAAGGTAACTTGTTATAGCAGTAGGGAAGTAGAACACTGACCCTGATCTCACCCAGAAGTGTAATCTCAATTACTTCTAGTCTTTTCCAACGTCAAGTTCCTAGGCCTGGAAATGATCTAAAATAGCATCTATTGCTGTTGAATGTATATCATCATGTGCAAAATGGCTCTTAATGTTTACGGTACTCTATTAAGAGTATGGGGCTCTGGTAGCGTAGTGATTACGAATCAGGCTGTGAACCTTAAGTACGTAGTTTGAAACTACCAGCTGTTCCGCAGGACAATGATAAGGCTTTCTGTTCCCATAAAGATTTACAGCCTTGGAAACAGGGTCGCTATGAGTCAGAACTGACTACGGCACATAACCACCACCATTAAACTAGAATGGAGTCCTGGTGTGGCACTGTACAATAAGCCCTGGACCACAAGGTCGATTTGAACTGCAAGGTTGGCAGTTCAAATCTACCAGCCATTCGTTGGAAACTATACAGAGTCACTATGTGTTGGAACCAACTCAAAGGCACTAAACAACAGCATTAGACTAGAAGGAGCACTGGTAATAGAGTGATTGGAGTGCTTGTCTGATAACTGAAAGGTTGGCTGTTCAAACCCACCAGCCACTCTGGTGGAAAGATGTGGCAATCTGTCGACATAAAGATGACAGCCTCAGAAACCCAATGTGGCAGTTCTACTCAGTCCTGTGGAGCGGCTCTAAGTTGGAATCAATGTGAGAGCAACAGAGTGTATATGAGATGAGAACGCTTCAGTTTACTTTGGTCTTTGAAGTCTGCCTTGAATGTTTTGGGCTTAGAGTAAATGCTGCCTTCCCTTGTCCCACCTTCTCTTCATCCTTTAAATCTTGCCTGGCTGGATAATTGAGGCCTTTCCTAGTGTCTTAACAATCTTCCAGTGAAGAAAACTTATAAACATTCATGCAGTTGGGAATTAGCCTCAAATCCAATGTGGACTGGGTCAGAAAATAAGTAATGATAAAATAATTTATAATCTACATATTTTCCCATCTCACTGGCCTTGAGAATGGCTTGTCACTACTTCTTTACACGTCATTGAAAACCTACAATAGAAAAAGTCCCTGGTGGTTATTGTTTGTTATTAAGTGCCAGCAAGTTGTTTCTGACTCACAGCAGGCCAGTATAGGGTTTCCAAGGAGCAGTTGGCGAGTTGACACCACCAACTTTGCAGTTCAAACTGACCTTGCAGTTCAGTACTTGTTCTACAGTGCCACACCAGGGCTCCAGTTACTGTTTAGAACACAGTAATAGTCTATCAGAAATTCACTTTGAAAACCCCCTTCCCCAAAACTGATTTTCTTTTTGGAATTTTATTGATATCACTACAAGGATTTAAAAATCTTTCAGAGGGTCCCAAATCCTGTGTCCAATACTAGCTAGGCTATACAGTAGAAATCCAGAGATGAGTAAGACAGCCTACAGTCTACAGAACGGAGTTTTGGTGATGAGGATAAACAAAGTGCTTTGACTAAAATGAGAAGTTTCAGAAAGCTAAATGTCATTGGAGCTGGGCATTTAAGAGTGGACAGGAGAGGATGCAAACTGGTGAAGTGCTTCTGGAGGGAAACTTAGTAGCTCCTAAAAACCTGATGTGTCCACTGACCAACCTTTAAAAACCCACTTCCCTGAATATGAAAAATACATATACATAAGGTTATTCAGTACAGCAGGATTTGTACTTGCAGAATTCTGGTGCTGTAGGACCGCAAGGCCAGTTTGAATTGCAAACTCAGTGGTTCAAGTTCACCAGCCTCTCCTCAGAAACCCTATACAGGGTCACCATGAGTCAGAACTGACTGGCAGTTGACAACAACAATATATATATATATGGAGCTCTGGTAGCGTAGTGGTTATGAGTCGGGCTGCTAACCTTAAGGTTAGAAGTTTGAAACCACTAACCATTCTGCAGGAGAAAGATGAGAGTTTCTGCTCCTGTAAAGATTTACAGGCTCAGAAACTCTATGCAGGGTCGCTATGGGTCAGCGTATAACGTATATATAAAGTGGTTGAGTTAACAATGGCATATTTGCTTGTAGAGAACGCTGCATCAGTTTAAAAAGAGAGATGATTTCCAGTATATGCTGTTAAGTGCCAAGAGGAAAGCAGCAGATCGTATTTATAGTGTGAGAAAGATGGCATGTGCGTCATATAATTGGTACTGAAGAAATAAGAGCAATGAGCTAAATAATACGTGCATTTTACCAGCCACATTCTGTTCATGAAACCTTTATGCAGCATGTTGTTGTTAAATGCCATTGAGTTGGTTCCGACTCATAGTGATCCTGTATAGGGTTTCTGAAGAGCAACTGGTATGTTTGAACTGCCGATCTTGTGGTTCGCAGTCGAGTGCTGATCCACAGCGCCACACCAGAAATCCAGTCAGACTTTTCTCCACTTCAGATGGACTCGACACCCTCCTCCATCAAAAAGTAAGAAAATTCTACTACAAGAACAAGCAAGTTGTTTGCCTGGGAGCCATCAAGACAAGCAATCAAATCCCTTCAGGACAAACCCCCCTCCAAGACTTAAATTCAAAGGGAACACATGAGCAGGCATGTAAATTTGCTGGTGACCATGTTGACCTGGAGATGAGACAGTGAGGAGGAAGGCGTGGTTGGTCCGAAGTGTGGCAAGACCTGGGGTCTCCTGAACCCATGGACAAGGACATAGCCACAGAGGGCTAGAGCTGAGAGTGAAGCATCCAATTGATATTAAGTGAGAGGTGATGCACAAAAACACCCAAATTTCAAATAGTACCCACTTGATCTAGCCTCAATGGCTTGAGAATCAGAACATGACTAGAGGAAGATTTAAAAAAACAATGTTTGATAAAGGAAACAAATTGCTACAATTTTATGAACTTGATCTATACTTTTGGATGTAGAGCTCAAAATACCAACTGAGAGGGAAGGAATCTTCATATCTGTATACAGGGTAAAAAGGGACAGGCAACTTAGACATTGGCTACCTAAAATGAGGGGGCGATAAAGGCAGTTTAGTTTAAGAGGGTATGGGGGAAAGTACAGTCCCCACCGAATAGTTTTCATATTGTCTAGATGGGTCTGGTAAAAAGAGATGGGGATAAGATTTTTATGATTCAATAGTGAGAAATTACTATCATGACTATTTGCAACTGTCACAACTATAAAGGTGAAGTTTTGTAACAAAAATCGGGGAGTAGTTAATCTTACAGTAGAGAAACAGAAAACCCTAGGACCATCAAGAGATAAGAGCACATGCAGAGTGCAGGACCCAATCCAGAGAAGCAGCAACACCAGAGATGGAAACAAATGAAGACATGGAGAGAGGGAGCAGCTGAAGACTATGGACTCATAGAAACAGAGGGACTGGGTGCTGGTGGCCAAGAGGCAGGCTTACAAGAATGTCCCCTATGATTGTTTAAATTATTATATATTCCTGAGTGTTTCTGTGTACATACTCCCCGCCCTCCAAAATAAACAAAAAATAAAACAGGGAATGGAAGAAAATTATTTAATAAAGGAAACGAGTGTAATTTGCTACAGTTTTATAAACTTGACCTATACTTATGGATGTAGTATCTCAAAATACCAACTAGAGGGAAGGAGTCTTCACATCAAACATCAATCCTATCCCCTCTGTATACAGGGTTGATAAGGATAGGCAACTTAGACATTGGCTACCTAAAATGAAGGGGCGATAAAAGCATGAAGTGACTGGCTTACAAGTTTTCAAGAAGGAGTTTAGTTTCAGAGGGTGCAGGGGAAGGTAGAGTCCCCACTGAATATCTTTCATCTTGTCTAGACAGGACTGGTGAAAAGAGATGGAGAAAAGATTCGTATGATTCAATAGTGAGTAACTGATATCATGACTAATTGCGACTGACACAATTGTAAAGGGAGAAGTTTTGTAACAAAAATGGGGGAGTAGTTAATCTTACAGTCCACAGTCCAGAACAGAGGACCCTAGGACCATCAAGGGAGAAGAGCCCAACCAGAATGTGGGACCCTATCCAGAAAAGCAGCAACATGAGGCAGACAAGAGGACATGGAGAGAGAGCAGCTGAGGATTCTAGACTCATGGAAAGAGAGGGACTGCATGCTGATGGCCAGGAGGCAGGCTTGCAGAATGTGCCCTTAGGTTGTTTAAATGATTATATATATTACTGAGTGTTTCTATATACATCCCCCGTACCCCCCGCCCAAAAAAAAAAAAAAAACAGAGGGAATGGAAGCAAATTAAAAAAAAAAAAAGTAAGAAAATTTACTTTTCAGGTTACTGGAGGTGGTCTATGCAGGGAGATGAGAAGAGGACACAGATGCTAAGAATTCTTGACTTAGACGTAATCCCATCTCAACATTTTCCTTTTACCTTCTTGAGGTAAGGGGGCCCTGGTGCCCCTTCCATGTTGCTGACACTACTTTCCGGAACTTCACTGATGTCTGCATCTGCTCTTTTCATTTTAGGGCTGCCACGACTCTGCCATGCAGGGTTGTTAACGGGAGCCTCAGTAGGATGGGGATGGGGCCTTTTGGCTGCTACTTTTCTTGCGATGCATTCGGGGGCCTTGTTGGTCCCGTTTTTTCTAGCCTGTGCATTTTTCCAGGTTACGTCTGACCTGAGGGATGAGCAGGAATTAAGTAAATGAACTGTTTGCTCTGGAACCTATTTTCAGTCTAACAAGTGATCAATGTGCAATGACAGTGGTGGTGCTGGTACGGAGAAGGGACTAAAATAACATGGAACATTATTAAAAGATAAGACTTACATATGTAATCACTTAAAAATTCTCTCAATAGAGAGATTCCAGTTTTTCATTCAAGCAAGCCATATGCATGATACAATATAACAAGAGGAAAGTTGGCAGAAGAATAATGGAGACAGGGGAAGACCCAGAGAGAAGTGCAAAAGTTAAAGACAACAGAGGTAAATACTGTTACATACATCATCCTGCAATAACAGTGGTCTATGAATCCATGGATACATGGTCTATGAATGAATATAGGAGGAAGATTAAGAGTATACCCACAAATAAACCAATGTTTGATAGGATATTTGCCTATGGGTATTTACCTTGGATGCAAACATATACATGAATGTGGTGGAGCATACAGGGGGCAAAATGATGAAAACTTAGACAATAACAAACACCTTGAAGGCATTAGTTGCTGTGCTTGGGGTCTAAGGACCATAGTTTCAGGGAACACCATGGTCAATTGACATCACATAATCCACAAAGATAATGTCTACATTCTTCTTTGGTGAGTTAACTACTGGGATCTTAAAAGATCATGAGCAGCCATCTAAGGTGCAACTGCTGGCCTCACCTTGTCCAAGGAAAGAAGAGAGATAAAAACTTAAAACTTTACAATTAGTCCAGAGGACTAATGGAGCACATGAACATAAGTCTCTACCCCCCCAGAAACCAGAAGAACTTGATGGTGCCCAGCTACCACTACCAACTGCTCTGAAAGGGATCACAATTAGAATATCATGAAGAAAGCGGGAGAAAATATGGAATAAAACTCAAAAATAATAAAGACCAAGCTTACTGGTCAGATAGGGAGACTGGTAGAACCCCTAGACCATGGCCTTTGGCCACCCTTCAGGTCTGGAACTGATCTCACCCCTATGGATCAATTTTCATCCAAACAATACATAGGTCTATGGGGGGACAACAACACTAGTGAGGTACACACACCATACAATGATCAGCCAGTCAAGCTCAAAAGAGCAGCCTTTACCTAAGAATACCATTCAGAAGGGAAAGAAAGAAGGAGGAATGGGAAATAATACACAGACAGGAAGTGGGGTAAGTGATATTACATTGACAGGACTGCCATATCAGTGAGATGAAACAAAGTGTAAGATTTGTTGGATAGAAAATCTATTGTATGAACCTTCATTCAAGTCACAACATATATATTTTTTTAATATTTGGACATTTTACTGCTTAGGAGGTTCAATTAGGTTCAGGAGTCCTGGTGTGGCACTGCAGGATAAGCACTGGACTACTAAATGCAAGATCGATGGTTCAAACCCACCAGCCACTCCTTGGAAACCATATACAGAGTTGCTATGAGTCAGAACAGACTCGATGGAACTTAACAACAATAAATCAGGTTCAACATTGGTATATTTTTATAACTAAAATTAGTATTTAGCCAATAGGCATATTACAGTAATAAGGATGTAAAAGACAAAAATCTATCAACTTTTTATGGTGGCGGTGGTAGTTTTGTGCCTTGGAGTCAGTTCTGACTCATAGCAACCCTGCATAGGGTTTATGAGGCTAAAAATCTTTATGGGAGCAGGAAGCCTCATCTTTTAACTGCAGAACCACTGATAGTTTTACATTGTGGACCTTTAGGCCAGCAGCCTAACTCATAACCACTATACTACCAGAGTGGGAGAAAATATAGAATAAAACTCAAAATAATAAGGACCAGGCTTACTGGTTAGAGAGAGACTAGTGGAACCCCGAGTCTATATGCCCTAGTCACTTTTTAGGTCTGGAACTGCACTCATTCCTATGCCTTAGTTTTCAGCCATACAACAGACAAGTCTACAAGAGAAACAATAACACTAGGGAGGTCCACAGTCCTTAGCATAATCAGCCATATGAGTTTACTCAAGGACCAAGTTCAGAATGGTTATGGAGGAAGGAGGACTGGAGATGGCAGATACAAGGAAACTGGGTACATGATATCACATTGTACGAATTGCAATCGAGATTACATGACACAAAGTGCGTATGAATTGTTGAGTGGAAACCACATTTGCTCTGGAAACCTTCACCCAATTCACAATAAAAAGTTAAAATAACGGGTGCGGTGTGGATGAACAAGGAAGATAGGGGAAGACTTAGGGACATTTGCATGGGCTAAATGGGACAGAGGTAAATAGTGATGTATACTCAATCTTGGAACAATGGGGGTTCTGTGATAAAGGGATCGAGACAGAGTCTGAATGAGTAAAACGGGAAATAACATTAAGGTGCTTGACTGTCTTGTGGATATTGGTTTCCCCTGCCTAGTACTATAAAATAGACATTTAAGTGGAATAGAAAGGAATATTGGAAAATATGATTGCAGAAAGCTTGTAAACCTGTCTTTAGCCTATAACTGATTAGGTTAGCTAAAAGGGGTACTAGAATTTGCCTAGTGAAACAGCCTTCTTCTTAAGCCTTTGTAGAGTATGAGGCCTTAGGTAGAATCCTGAGCCCCATCCAGAATCTTCTGTGGTGGGACATTCCCATTTGAAAAGATATGCATACCAACTCATAGTGGCTAGAACAGAAGCTATTTCTTGAAATACCAGCTGGGGGTAAAAATCAGACTGTTTGGTGCTACAAGAACAAGCAAGCTGTTTGCCTGCTGTTTGCCATCATGACAAGAAAAGCCAGTTCATCAGGGTAGATCGCCTTCCAAGACAAACTCAAGAGAATACACAAGCAGGACTGTAAGCTCGCCTTGGGCTACTTGTGAGTGGAAATGGGTGAACTGCAGCAATGAAGACATGAGTTGAGTTCGACCATGTTCCATAGACATGTGTCAACCTTGAGATGAGAGAGAGAAGAGGAAGGCTGGCTGTTCTGAAGTTTAGGGAAACTTGGTAACTCCCAAGCCCATGGACAATGATCTAACCACTGGGGTGAGAGCTGAGAGTGGAGTGGCCAGCTGATCAGAAGCAGGGGGGAGACAAGCAAGAACACCCAGACTTGTAGATGGTACCCACTGACCTAGCTTGGATGGCTTGCTAATCAAAACTTGACTAGAGGAAGAGTAAGAAGTTTGATACAGAAAGCAAGCATAAATTGCTACCATTCAATGTATGGATGTATTTGCTTATAGATGTGGTTGCTCAAAATTCCAACCAAGAGGGAAGAATTCTTTATATCAAGGATCAAGCCTGTCCCCTCAGTACATAGAGTTGATAAGGATGGGCAACTTAGACATTGGCTACCAAAAATGGGGGACTATAAAGGCACAAAGTAGCTGGCTTACAAGCTTTCAAGAGTGTGCTTAGTTTCAGAATGAGGGGGGTAAAGTACAATCCTCACTGAGTAGTTTTCCTCTTGTCCAGATGGGTCTGGTAAAAGGGGATAGGAGAGGATGGGGATAGGATTGTTTTGATTCAAATGGTGAGTGATTGTTATCATGACTAACTGTGATTGTCACAACTGTAAAGGTAGAAGATGTGAAACAAAAAGGGGAAGTCATTAATCTTTCAATCCAGGAAAAGAGGATCCTAGGACCATCAAGAGGGAAGAGCATGAGCAGAGCATGGGTTCCTAACCAGAAAAGCAGGGACAGCAAAAGCAATGGCAATAGAGAGAGAGTAGCTGAGGACTCTAGACCCATGGAATGAGAAAGGCTATGTGCCTGCAGACAGGAGGCTGGTTTACAAAATGTACCCTTTGGTCGTTTAAATTAATATATACTTTCTGTGTGTTTTGTGTACATAAAAAAATAAATAAATAAATAGAGGTGAATACTGTTAACTTATGGTGTATGGAGGGGATTGTAGCCATTGCAATGAAACAAAATATGATTGATTGAGTGTAAAACTGATGATCTGCCCAGTAAACTATCATTTAATTCACAGTAAAAGCTTTAAAATAAATAAATAAATAAGAACTACAATTTGGAATTGTTAAATTTTGGTTTGAAGAGAAAAGGCAAGATTTATGACAGTTCTATTCTCGTTAAATCTTAAGCATAGCTTTTCCTGATCCAGTCAAATTTCTGATGGTCCAATGTTCTATTCCTTGACTGTTTCCTACATGAAGTCCACTGAAGTACTTCAGAATAAGACTGGCCAATGACTTTTCCCCAACCATGAAAACATGGCCTTACCTTTTTAGATTTTGTGAAAGACACAGAGACTGTGGCGAAGATGTCCTGCTTGGTACGTCGACTAATGTAGCCAAAATAAAGTTGGCTTCCAGTAACATGTCATCAATACTTAGAGCCACAGGTCTACAAAGGCAAAGTCAGAGCAAAAATAACACTCATTTTCTAATGGATATTAGAAAAAAATTAGAAAATGACATTAATTTTGGAGTTAAAAAAAAAAAAAAAAAAAAGACTTTCGTCTTTTCACAAATTAATACAGTCCTAAGGAGTCCTGGTGTGGCACTGTGGGTTAATGCGCGAGACTGCAAAGCTGTTTGAACTGCGAGGTTGGCAGTTCAAGCTCACCAGCTGCTCCTCAGAAGCCCTATCTATACAGGGTCGCTGTGGGTTGGAACCGACTCGATGGCACTTAACAACAAGAGTTGGAATCCTGTTATGGTGTTACAGGATAAGCACTGGATTGCTAACTGCAAGACTGGTGGTTCAAACCTCACCAGCTACTACTTGGAAACCCTATACACAATTAGTATGAATCAGGAACTGATACAATGGCACTTAACAACAAGAATTGGAAGGACTCTTAGAAATCATCATATCTAATTTTACAAGGCACATTTTAACCCAATCTCACTTGAAATTTAGCTGTGATATAGCACATAATGTCACAGTTTTCTAGAGATTTAATTTGTTTAAGCCACATGTCATCTTCTAAGTAGGCAATTTATTCAGCACCATGTCAAATTTGTAAATGTTTTTATTCTGCAGAAGAGGCCTTTCTCAGTCAAGTAGGCTAATGCGTTGGACTGCAAAGTCTGTTGAACTGCAAAGTCAGTTTGAACCACAAGGTCAGTGGTTCAAGCTTACCAGCTGCTCCTTGGAAACCCTATACAGGGTCGCTATGGGTCGGAACCGACTTGACAGCACTTAACAGCAAGTATTTATAATACAACTGGATCATTTGAAAACAATTCACACTTCAAAGATTCTATAAGTTTCCTAGCAGTACATATCAAACTGAAAATTTTAAGAATGCTATATAGCATTGTTGTTGTTAAGGGCCATCGAGTCAGTTCCGACCCATAACGACCCTGTATAGGGTTTCCAAGGAACTGCTGGTGAGTTTGAACCGTCAACCTTGTGGTTCAAACCAATTTTGCAATCCAGTGCATTAACCCATAGTGCCACAACATACTTGGGGGCTTCAAAAGTTTACGGAAAACAGAAAAAGAGATACTGGGATTTCCACACAAACTTTTTTTGAAGACCCCTCATATATAACAGGAGTCTTGGTATAGAGCTGCAGGATAAGCACAAGACTGCTAACCGCTAGGTCAGCAGATCAAACCCACTAACCAACCGTATGTAGGGTCGCTATGAGTCACAACTGTGACTCGATGGTACTTAACAATAATAACATATACAACAAAAGAAAATAAACTCAGAAAAGTTTCCAAGACCTACTTTCCAGGAAAATCAAAATAAACGGATATAGGAGCATGTATAGCTTCTGAAAACATTAGCATTCCCTGAAAGAGGAAAACAAGAAAGATGCTTGAAATCTTTATAAGCTACCAGTGAAAATCTGAATTTTAATTTGATGCAATTATTGTGTTTACCTTCAGTTCTTTGACACAAAATGTTACCTCAGTTTCAACTCCAATTTGAAAGAAATCAAACTCATCTGGGCCAACAAACATCTCACTGTACACAGAATTAGTCAAATCTGTTAAATATTATAGAAAGACAAGGAATAAAATGTGTTCCATAGATAATTGTTTACATTTTCATACTAAAGTATAACCTTAAGTGGTAGGTTAAACATTATCTACAAATTCTTTGACATTCTTTCAGTGCATGGTTCTGGGTGGGCTCAGACCAGTAAGATATGGCAAAGCGACCTTGGACCAGTTTCTGGGCTCTGAAGAGACTGGCAACTTCCACTTCCTGTCTCTTGGAATACTAATTCTTGGAACTCAGGCTCCTTGCTGTATGAAGTCCAAGTTAAATGACAAGGACCCATACACATATATGTGGGTACTCTCTGGTTGACAGCCCAGCTGGGATCCAGCCTATAACCACCAGCTTCAAGTACCAGCCATGTCAGTACGCTATATTGGGCATCTTCAAATAACTCCAGCCCAGCCACTAAATTCAGCTGTGTGATATACTCCAAGTACAAACTGTCCAGCTGAGCCCCATCAATCCACAGAACCATGAGATTACTGATATTCTTGTTTTAAGCCAGTATATTTTGGAGAGGTTTATTACAAAGCAAGAACTAGAATACCACAAAAACTAATTCACTCTAATTTAGATAACATGCATTGATAGCTTTTGGAGTCCTGGTGTGGTGCTGTAGGATAAACACTCGACCACAAGGTCGGTTTGAACCGCATGGCCGGCAGTTCAAACACACCAGTTGCTCCTCAGAAACCCTATACAGGGTCACTATGAGTCGGAACTGACTCGATGGCATGTCACAACAACACAGTTTATATTCACATATAATAAATATTGGCACCTATGTATTTCATTATATTCCTTATTTAAAAAAAAAATAAACAAAATCAGTAGACTGTACCATACTTGAAAGTGACTTTCAAAATTAAACTTAAATTGTTTTTATTGTAATATAATCTATATTATAAAAATCATTTTTAGACCTTTTTAAAAATGGAAATAAATGTATGTAACATGAAATCCACCATTTTAACCATTTTGAACTGTACAAGTCATGGTTTTTGAGTATATTCAGTATATTAGTTGTGCCACTATCATCATCTAATTCCAAAACATTTCATCACCCCAAAAAGAAACTCCAAATCCATTAACAGTCACTCCTCAGGCTCCTAGCCCCTAGCCACTGCTAACTGATTTTTTAGTTTCTTTTCTCTTTTGTTTATGAATTGGATGATGGTTTATAGAGCTGATCAATTTTCCATTTAGTTATTCCTACACATTTTGTGTCATCTCATTGACTGCAATCCCACTTCCTCCTTGTGTTTCCTTGTTTCTATCCTTCCTTCTTTCCTAATCCTCCTGAGTTTTGTCCTTGGGCAAATGTTGCTCTTTTGAGCTCAAATATTTGATTATTCTAATTATCACCCGGTGTTATTTCCGCCCCCTCTATTTTTGGCTGAAAATTGAAGCATGGGGATGAGTTCATTTCTAGACCTGAAGGGTGACAATAGCCACAGTGTCAGTGGTTCCACCAGTTTTTGGTCAACCCATAAGCCTGGGCTTTTTCCTCCCACTCTCTGCATTTTCCTCCCACTCTATGCAGGACCTTCAGAGCAGTTGGTAGTGGTAGCTGGGCACCATCTAGTTCTTCTGGTCTCAGGGTCCTAGAGACTGATTAGTACATTGGACTAACTGTTTCCATGCATCTTCGATTGTCATCACTTTTCTTTCCTCCAGACAAAGAGACACCAATAGTAGTACCTTAGAAAGCCATTATGAGCGTTAAAAATGATGTGGTATATGTGGGTGATGGGGAAGGCAAGATAAAAAACAGGGAGGTTAGCAGAAGAAAGATGAAACCAGTGGGAGACACAGGAAGGAATGCAAGAGTTAAAGTGAATAGAGGTAAACACTATGAGATTTGTTAATAAGAGCAAGTGCCTTTTTAAATGTAACCACTTGGAACGGCACCTGGCACATCCTAAGCACTACAAAAGTCATCTAAACCAACTTAAGCCCTGGTTCTACTGGTTTCTCATTTGAAAATAACACAGTTCCTTCTTTTACATCCTTCCTGTAGAGCTATCACTGAATAGAAAAAGTTCAGAGTTGCCAACAGTTTCTTGTGCAAAAAGGACCCTACCAAAGTTTGTTGATCCCCAAACTCTTGATTTACCTGTGCCTTAGTTTTAACATTGTATCTAGACAACTCTTGGGAGAGCTGATTTCAGGAGCATACTTTCTGCCTGTGTTTGCACCTGGATGAACGTCTACATCTAGAATTCAGTTCTTTTTCTTCAGTGGTCAAAAATCCTATCAATTAGATTGCTAGCCTGTTAATGTTTTGTTTTTGTTTTTTAGTGCGAAACACAAAGAGAAGTAGACAAAAGATTAGAAGCAGACCTTAAAACCTTAACTCCAAATTTACCTTCCTCAGCAACCAGTCTAATTTTCAAACAACCCAAATTTGAAAAGCAAGCATTTTCATTACTGATGTGTTCCATTTTCTCTATCTATTCATTTTTTTAAATTTTATTTTTTACATCTTACTGCTTTGTAGACAATAATAAATACCAGGCCAGGAATACTTACTCGATGGTTAGTAATCAAGGAAGCAGTATGTTATCAAATACCAAACCATGACACAAAGACAGCATCCTTACCCATTGACTCCCCACTGGAACTCTTGAGGCAAACCTTTAGGGGAGTAACAGCCAGAGTAACTTCCTCTTGATTTGATGTAAAAAGAACAATGGCTTCTGCAAGCAGTCTATGAAATGTAATGAAAAGTATTAACTTGCTTTGAAAAAAAGCATGCAGAAAGACAGAATGCTGGTAATTAGGACTCAAATCTTTAGTCTGGAAAGAAATAGGTTAGTTGTTCGGGGTTTAGAAAACTGTGCCTATCTTCTTACCTGTGAACGGCTATATTTTTAGCATATTTGTAAATGATAACCTCATTTGAAGGTCAGGGGAAGAGCAAAATACAAAAGACATGGGAAAGCAGTATGACCAAAACACCAGATTAAAATGACTTTAATTCCGTGTTTTGGTATGCCTGATATATTTTGAAAAAATTGCCCTGGGAGACCATATTCCAAATAAATAAATAAATAACAGAAAACAAACTGTTTAAATGGACCCAGTTATGCGGTGGAGGTTTCTCAGAAGTCTGCTGTCTATCTGCTCTTTTCCTTCATTACTTGTCCTAGATTATTAACTTTTAAGGTTCTCTTCACATCCTCAACACTCTTTCTTAGGGGCTCCCTTTTCTTTTTTAACACCTTTATTGATATATAAGAGTCCTGGTCTGGTGCTGTAGGATAAGAACTGTACTGGTAACTACAAGGTTGGTGGTTCAAATCCACCAGCTGTTCCTCAGAAACCCTATATAGGGTAGCTATGAATCAGAACCGACTCCACGGCACTTAACAACAACAACTGATCTATAATTCATATGGCTGTACAATTCACTGACTTAAACTTTGATTTGCATTTCCCACCAACCACTCCTAGGGAACCCTACATAGGGTCACTGTAAGTTAGAATTGATTTGACAGCACTTATCAACAAAGACTAATGAGGAATCCTGGTATGGCATTGTAAAATAAGAACTGGACCACAAGGTCGGTTTGAATTGAGAAGTTGACGGTTCAAACTCACCACCCACTCCTTGAGAAACCCTATACAGGGTTGCTATGAGTTGAAACTGACTCGACGGCATTATACAACAATGACTAATGAAAGACACCCTGGTGGTGCCGTGGTTAAGTTCTCAGCGGCTAACTGAAAGGTTGCCAGTTCAAATCCACCAGCTGCTCCACAGAAGAAAGAAGTGGAAGCCTATTTCTATAACTATCACAGCCTTGGACCCCCTATGAAGCCATTCTACTCTGTCCTACGCGATTGCTGTGAGTCAGAATCAATTCAAAGGCAACAGGTTTCATTTAATGACACAGGATGTTGAACATCTTTTCATGTGCTTCATGGTTCTTTTCATATCTTCTTTGGAGCATATCTATTCAAATCCTATTTTTTCTCTTTATTATTGACTTCTGAATTCTGGGCTTCTTTGGAAATTGAGGTGTTGTTAGATAAAAAATGAGATTCTTAAGAGTTTATGTCATCCTGTTGTTAGTTTGGTGCCAGACATTAGCCTCGCAGTGTTTCTTGATGCCAAAATGTCAGGAACACACCTACCAAACTCATCTGGGAACATTTCCATGTTGAGGGGAAAGTGTTGTGTGTCACAAGATACGAGAGGTAACTGGATGAGACTCTTCAAGACAAACAACTTTAAATCAGGGCAAATATCTATCATGGAGGGCGGCGGCTAAACGATGTGCGAAAACTGCGCAGACCTGGTGGAGGTGTTCAATGAAACCCAGACCACGGAACGGCGGGGTGAGAGGTGTCTGGAGACCAGGTGGATGGGGAGATGCTGCCTAGCGGGAAGAAACTGCAGGGGCCAGCCAGGCTGTCCTACTTATCCCGGAAGCGAGAGCACCTTCCTAGCCTAACCGTTGGATCCTGGCTTTCAGGCGGGGTCAACCAACTTAGAGACCCACAAGTGAAGCCCAAAGCGTCTCACTACAACCCAGTGGCCCCTGCTGCACTTCTGCCTCTTGATTGACATCCAAGGACAGAAATCCCCCCTTTGAGCCAGACTTAAGGGGCCCTAGCACAAGGAGATTCCTATTTAACAGCAACCACGCAACCGCCACTCGTCTGTCTGTCATGCTGTGGTGGTTTGAATTGCTGTGATTCTGAGGGCTATGCCACCGGTATTTTAAATA